AAACTCGATCGTGTTAGCGTGACAGTGTATTGTGTAAACGCGTGTTAGTGAGACTGCGTGTTGTGTAAACTCATGTAAGCGTGACAGTGTGTTGTGTGAATTCATCTAAGCCTGACACGGTGACAGTGTGTTGTATGAACTCGTATTAGCGAGACTGCGTGTTGTGTAAAACTTGTGTTAGCGAGACAGCGTGTTGTGTGAACTTGTGTTAGCGAGACAGCGTGTTTGTGAATTTTTGTTCGCATGATAGTGTGTTGTGTGAACTTGTGTTAGCCTGATATTTTGTTGTGTGAAATTGTATTAGCGTGACAGTGTGTTGTGTGTTAGTGTGAAAGTGTTTTTGCATGATTACTTTGCACTTGTATGTTGTCTTATTAGGGAATAGCATAAATGACTGTCTTAATTTGTGTAAACTTCTTTTAATTGATGAAAGAGTACATTAAAATTTACAAATTATATACAGAAAATGTGACAATATCTTATCTCTCAATTTGATAATCTAATTTATAATCTCATGAATTGCACTTTTTATTAGTAAAAAAATTATAGATTAAAACATTTCAATTTCTTTTGGATAGGTGTGGCTCATCTGAAGACTGAATTTTGATACCAAGCATGACCATGATTTGCCAGAAGATCATCTGTTTGGATGTGACATGGAATAAACAGCATAGTGAAAATAAGTCAAGTGTTGGTTTGTGAAGACAATTTTTAAACACACTGTGTATCATTTTTAAATTTTGATTTGACAACATAAATCCACAAATATGAACATATCAACTGCCCTCAGTTTTTCAAGTGAAATAGTTTTTGTAACAGAAATACATGTACCAGTAATTACATTGGAATAAATGTTATTTTTAAATATAATAATATTTTGTTTGTGTAGCATGTTGACCTATTTATTAAGGTCTTCCCTTTCAAAGTTTAGACTTACTTATTCTAATGATTAAGATAGATCCTTTGTCTTCAGCAGGAATAGAAGATCTTGTAATACATGTATGTGTATTTTTTACAGAATAACGTAAAAAAAATTTTATTTTGGCACATACAACTAATTAAAGGCATAAACATGTGTATGATTCCAAGGAATTCCGTACATAGGGCATGTACATGTAGATTTCTAAAACAAGATTGAAGAGATGTCCAGTCGCATTTCAATGTCAACTGCAAAACTGTGCCTGTTGCATACTTATTAGCCCATCTGAGCTAAAGGAACCAGTAATTTTTTTAAAAACATAATTTTATCCATTATCATCATTGTCTAAAATTTTACAATATCATTTTCCAGAACCAAAGTGAAACTTGGCACAGAGCATCCTTAGTGTAGGGGATTCAAATTGTTCTTATTCAGGGCAATACCTTCAAAGAGATTGTTTCTTTAATGCTGTAAATGTATTATCTTTAGCTTATACAATATTTGGTGGAAATTGACTTTTGAATAAGTTAGCGTAGATATTCTTATTTATATTTATGTACAAGACTTTTAGCTTTGTGCTTGATTTAGTGATTGCTGCATTCCGCAAAAGCCGCTAAAAAAGAATACACAGCCATATGTAATATGTTTACAATATACCTTTCAGAGAATTTTACACTCCTATTGAGGTACCACCAGTTGCTAGTGGAAAGCTGCAAATTCAAAACATACACAACACATTTCTGTGCGTTTATTTTAAAAGTATTGTTCTACTTACTGATTGCAACTAATGAAGATTGTTCATCATTATTGTAAATACATTTGGATTTTTTGAATTATTATATAATTTGTTTATTTTATTTACCTAGTTATATTGTATATTAGATGATTTTAAAGCCATTTTTAAGATGGTAATGTAGCAAAACACTTATGTTTCTGTACTATGACACGTTTCACAAACATAATTGCAACAAACAGGATATATCCGATATCAAAAGTCATAATATTGGAAGTTAAACTGTCGTGGATACGATTTCAAGAATGCTGTTAGAGAGAGTACCCTTTTGATCTCATTCTCACACCAAATTAAAGAATTCAAGTAAGGTTTGTGAGACAAATCGAAAAAGAGAATGTTAGCATAGTTGACAATCTGACAATCTAGACAGAAACATTTAATATTTTGCTTAGCGCTAGGAAGGAAAACCCACTCGTTGCTTTGCAACGAGCTTTGCTCTAGTTATTATTATTATTTTTCATTTTTATTTTTTTGACCTTTTCAAATCGCGTTTTCTCGAAAACTACTCAATGAATTTCAGCCAAATTTTCAGGAAATATGTGTTGTACCATGCCATTTTGAAATATGAAAAGAAATTGGAAAAATTCACTTCCGGTCAGGAATTATTGCAAAATTTCATTTTTTCCACTAAAAATCTATTCCGTGAATGTTCTCAGAAACTATAAAAGGTAGGATTCTCAAACTTTCAGATATGATAGAGGTTGGTTTGTAGATGTGTGATAAGAACATTTCATGTGTCGTCGCCACTTCCGGTCGTCACAGGAAGTGATTGAAAAAGGGCAATTTTTTCAACTTTTTTGTTTTTTGACATTTTTTATTGATATTAATAAGAATAATAGAAACATATTTGAGAATGATAAATATGTAATTTGATTTAGAATCGGAAATTCCTACCTCGAGATATTCGCATTTAAAAATTGGAAGTGGTGGTCCCCAATGGCGTAATGGTAAGCGCGTTGGATTTACACGCTGGCGACCCGGGTTCAATCCCCCATATGTCCGAAATTTTTTTTTATCACTTTTTCATTTCGATTTTACGTTTTTCTTTCAGAATCGGACGGAAGACCTCTCGTTGCTCGCAACGAGTTTCTTTTCTAGTTATTTTTCTTCTTCTTCTTCCTGGGTACTTTTTTGTCCCGGAGTGATCTTGTAAACTATACATCCGACTTAGGTAAAACCTTTTTAGGGTCAGTAGGCATGTTATGTAAATTTGCGGAACGAAGGTCATTTTGTGCGCACGTGCTTGCAAGAGCGTGCACGTGCAACAAGTGAAATGACCGATTTAATTGATATTGGCGTAACTTTTTACCTTTTTGATGAAATGCTTTGAAACTCATAATATAAGGATATATAAGTAGCATAGACAATATGACATAGTCAAAATAGCAAGATCTCACGCGCATGCACGTGCGCTCTGCTCTGATCGGCTGAAACTAAAGTCTCAATATCTTTCTTGTTTTTTGACGAAATCCTTTGAAATTTTGAACATAGCCATACATTAGGATAACCTACACTATGATGTATAGCAATTATCATGAAAACACGTGCATGCACGTGCGCTGCAATCTGATTGGCTTAAACTTTAAATAGCTATAACTCCCTTGGTTTTCAACCAAACAGGATGGGATTTGGAACATAGATAGATATAATGGACTTCTACAAGAAGGTATGGTCATCATGCACATGCATACACGTGCGTATACGTGCGCTGCAATCTGATTGGCTGAATTTTTAAACAGCTATAACTCTTTTCAGTTGGTTTTCAACCAAATGGGGTGGGATTTAGAACATAGTTAGATGTAATGGACTTCTACAAGAAGGTATGATCACCATGCTCATGTATGCACATGCGTGCACGTGAAATGAGTAAAATCAAAAATACACTTGAATGAGCGTATTTTTTGATACTTTTGGATTAAATACTTTAATACTTAGTATATTAAAATACATAGATTGTGTAGACAAGATGATATGGTCATTACGCACATGCATTCACATGCGCACGCATGCAATGCTAAAATTTGAATGAACTTGGTACCCTTCTGGGTAAACGTTGTTCAAGTCTAAAATGCATAGAGTTTGTCTTATTTAATGAAGCTTACAGGTAATATGGCACCAAAAGGGAGTCGGGGAGCGTTTGGGGAACATCTGTAACGGTCCCCGTTACAATTAGCACTAGTTGTTTATGTTTCCTTATTTCTTGTTTCGTTGTATCTGAGATATTCATTAGGGTGTCCTGTGATCAATGATTTCGTTGAAATTTTTTTGTCTGAAAGTGGCAGTAGTAGCACACAGTAAGAAGGTATGAAAGCATTGTATCATTCCTCGATTACTGAAAGAAGAACTATAATTTATCATAAAATTTTCCAATGAAAAACGCACCTAATTTATCAACGACTCATACAACGAAAATACTTTCCCGCACAACGACAAATATCGTAAATATTTAACAACGGATATAGTCGTATTTTGACGGAAGCTGTTAAATTTAGGATAATCTAATCAAAAGCAGTAATAAATTACGTTTGCATACTAAAGAACTTATATTTCGCATTGTTTAGTACAATTATTAACGAATATGGGATGAACTTCAACATGGCCATGCATCTTTTCAAGTCTTTGTACAATTATACTGTACACTTCCAGTTTTTTAGTATGTGGGTTTGACACTGTGAAAAGTATCAGTGAATATTCGATGTGGCCCCTTGGCCTCTAGATAAACCTTTTGAAGACAGCACTTAAATCTTCCTCAAGGTCGTAAAATTAAAGGTTGTTCCATTAGATACTTTGAAATTCAAGCCGTCTGACGGACATAATTTATATAATGCGCCGTGAATTTCACTATATAATTTATACTGCCCCGCCCTAGCAAACATGGGGCCCTGAATTTCACAACTGCGATAGAGGACTTAATGGTGATTATAATCATGACAGCACATTGACTGCTTGATGTACAGGGGTAAAGAAGATTTTTAAAGATTTTAGTGGTGTTTGGCCCCACCCTCCGGCCTCAGGGAGGCAGGGATCATGAAATTCACATTTTTTGTTCCCCTTTACCTAGAGATGCTTTATACCAAAATTGGTTGAACGGTTGCAAAGAGGAAGATAAAAATGTTCAAATGTTCACGCACGACAATGGACGAAAACAAATAGCAAACCCGAATTTACTCAGGTGACCTAAAAATCATATTATTAGTTTTCAGGAATAACAACAACAAAATGAATTCAGAATTAAAAGATTGTCAAAATGTACACATTTATTTTGAGAAATACTTTATTAAGATCGTTCATAATCTGAAAATTAAAATTTATAATAATAATATCATTAACAGTAACATTAAGGGAAATGTAAAATAATGCATCAATGCGTCAATTCAACAATCATCATCAACAATAAAGAATCTTAAGGAATAACCTACTGAATTGAAAAACCATAATTCCTCTTATGTTTGGTGATTTGTTGAGCTTAATGAAGCTCTTTAGAAAAGCAATAATATTGTTAATACATTTTATAAATCTAGAATCATATATTCGTTGTTTGGGATATACAAGTCTTTTCTGTTTGGCATTCTTTATCGACAAGGTTGTCCGGTGAGGAAGAACTTTCAAGCAAGTTATTTATCGCACAATCCAAATTTTCGGGCACTGAGGAAGTTTCCGTCTGGGTGTTCATAGTGCAATCGATAGATCCATTTGCATGTGATGACTTGTCATGGTTGTTAGTTATGCTTCTAAGTTCCCAATGCTTACTGCTGTTGCTCATATCCTGATTATTTGGAATCAATTCAGCATCTTCCCCTAGCATGGCAGAACTTAACGAGATTGTTCTACAGGTAAATGCAGCTCTCAAAAATTTTCTGAAAGTTTTACTCATAAAACAATAAATTGCAGGATTAAGAGACACTGTGATATAAGCAAAGCACGGCGCAAATAATTGCAAATGATACGAAAAAGTCGTCGCTGGAACGTTTAGTGAATTCATTATTGCTGCTACGTGAAGGGGTAGCCAACAAACTGCAAATGCCAGAGTTACGACAAATGTCATCTTCACTATCTTTCCTCTTATTTTCAGTGTGACAAGTGCCGCCTGGTTTAGTCTGGCACCACGCCTCAAGTGCGCGCGTAGTTTTTGAGCAATCTGAATGTAACAAAACCCAACCAATGTCTGTGGAATCAGATAAAAGAAGATAAACATGCAGGCTGAGTAAGCTTTTCGTTCGTCATCTTCCATTTCCTCCACACAAATGGGACGAAACGCCTTCACTTCCCGCACAACCATTAGTACCCATGAAAATACGAGGAAGGAGAACACCCAAAGAGCTATGATAATGTAGCACGTGTTTTGAGGAGTTCTGCAATTAAGAAACCGTGATTATTAAAAAATATATGCTAATAAACATTGTCAATTTTATAAGATAGCAACTAGTAGTAACAAAATTAAATAAAAATATAACGAATAATAATCAATCTGAAAATTCACATTTTGTCCGGCGTCCGTCTGTCTGTAAACTTATACTTTCAAATTCTTCTCAAGAACCACTGAACCGATATCAACCAAATCCCTGGGTGAGAGGATGGCCAACATGGTGTTTGCTTTCAAAGACTACTAAAATAAGGTTGTAATCAAAACCAATATACATAGAAAAAAAAAATTAAAAAGTTCAAAAACGATTTTATAAGATCTTTATGTAGAGCGAAATATGAAATGAGTGACGTTTCAGTTTCCGGCGAAGAAATATCGTTTGATGCTTATTCCTCAACAAATTCGTCCAAGGTTTGTATGGAGCGTAGTGGAGTTAATCGAGGATCGTTTACGTCACACGTTTGGTCCGAGTGATTCAAATGCAGATGGTATTGATACATGTAGATCGTCGTCAAAATCGAAATGTTGAATTGAAGTCCACATCAAGAGAGATCTTTTCATATAGCAGTCGATTCTGCTGCATAATGATATATTGTAACATATTACTTGGTTTTTAACGTAATTTTATGAAGTCTTCCTGTTATCATTCAACCTATGTTTTACTTTGCCTGCCAAAAAGTTGTTCGTTTATGACTTTACTGAAAATAATATGTCAGCTACGATTAGTTATTGCTATTATCGTTATATCTTACCTGTCGTTACGTTATGTTAGATCGTAGGATTAATTACAGGGGAAATGGGGTGGATTTTACATTTCATTTTTGGTAGCCATCAACCTATATATTTTTTGTGAACTTCATTTTGTTGATGAACTTGACTTTTCTAGAAATTCGTAGATGTCCAACGGAAACTCGAGTATCTTTTTTATTTAAATTGCGAGTACTTGTGAGTACACTCAAAATGCTTTTTGAAAATATAATTCTGCAGATGATCAACGGCAACATATATAAATTCAACACTGCACAGGAAACTTCCCACTGCTCATGTTTTGAAGTATCGAATACAAGTAAACATTTGCAGCCCTAAACTAGCAAGTAATGGCGCCTCAATGCAAGTGAAAAATTTAAGGCAGTTAAATAAAAAAAAAACTCAAAAATATAAAACAAATTTTAAAATGTTACCCCATGATTTGTTCGACATGGATGAAACTTAGATTGATTGATTGTATATTGTTTAACGTGCCTCATCGAGAATTTTCGCTCATATCGAGATGCCATAACTTGCCGGGGGAGAGCTGCAAAATTTGTCCTATACGCGGGCGACGAGACGATGAAACTTGGAATACAGGTATATATCCCTTTCATACCAACTGCTTAACCGTCACTATAGTCCAGCCGGTAGCTATAGAGTGCTCGTTCCTTGATCGGAAGTATGTGTGTTTAAAATAAGGCCGTGTGTCACAATCAAAGTTGATTTTGTTACATGTTTATTTGTTTTTCTTTTATTAGTATTGCCCTGTGTTGAGCCTTATTTGTATTTAGTGTTTATCCTGCAAGGAGCCCCATTGTGACGCTCAGGTGATTTAAATATTTGGCCAGTCGCTATATAAGGTGATGTCAGGTTTGTCTTGGGTAGCGCACGTTTTCCTTGACCAGTGAAAGTAGTTTCACATGTCCATGGAGGGTTAGGTAGTTTTTCGTGGTAACTGAATCTCCAATCAGGGTAAGTGTAATTTACTTACATTTATTATATTAAAAAGTAATGCAGTATTATGTTAATTGAGCTTATTCTATTTTTATCCACGAGAAAGTGTTTGAATTGTATACGGGAATTTTACCACGTGCACATGCCGTGAGTTTAAGCGTAAAGTAATGATATTAGTTTATTACTCAGAGTGTAACGTTACATTGTATTATTATTTTGCTTTGCGAAGCGGTGTGATACATGTTAGTTAAAACTGTATGTTTAAACAAGTATATGTGTAAACATTTATGTTATGTTGTAAGGCAGCCCGTTCGGGGTCAAGCTTATTATGTCTACGCATATTTGTTGAAGGTCCCTATTGATACATGTACGTTAGTATGATTTGGTGCTGTCGGCGGAGGCAACCTAAGGGCGTGGTACGCTGGGCCGAGACCGTGAGAGAGGAAACGTGGTTTCCCGGATTTGGCAGCATTGCAGACGCTTAAGACGCGTGGGATAGGCGCGGGACGTCGAGGACGTGGTGGCATTTGGTGTAAGGGCGTGGTACCCGTAGGTCATGGACCGTTAAACACAGGAGGCGGGGACGGATATAGGAACGTGGTCTCAGGATGGACACTGATAGACATTTTGAAATTCATTAATTTCATTTTGTATATTTGTACATATTTGTTTTTATATAAAACTGTAAATAGAAAATAGTTTTGTTATCACTGATCAAGCTTAGGGTGTCGTGACACCGTGTAAATGGATACAAAATATGTAGAAACTGTTTCTTGGCCAAAGGCACCTTGAAGTTAAAATTGTGGGTTTTTCATATGAGACCTTTAACCCCTTAACGGCCAAGTGCGCCTTTTGACGCATTTTCAGCATCACAGTGATTTAACTGTTGGCGTTTTGTAAATAATTGGGATACAACAAAACAGTTGTTATTTTCTGAAACTAGAGAAGAAACACAACATTTTTTCTATTATCAGTTTTTCCCTGCGATGTTTAGAAATTATTGTAAACTTGAATTGAACATTGAATATAATTGCGGGAAGTTAGTAAAATTAAGCATAAATGAGTGATTTTGTGCTATCTTCTGTAGGCTGTATCTCACTTACAGCACACTATAAAAAAAAATGAATGCCATATCCTAAAAGCGAGGAATTTTCCCTACATTTTCTCTATTGGACATTCAAAGGTACGAACATCCGTTACAGAAATATTTGCTGTTGAATATTGGAACTTTTTCGAGTAAAACAAAAAAAAATGCACTATGACGTCATCTAACGTTTTACGTGTATACAATGAAATCTTTCATAAGCTCGTTGTAAAATAAATCGATTCTTTTAATATAATAATGGAACAGATTTATTTTTGAAAGGATTTTTTTATAAAGAAGAGTTAATATAAGAAACGTTTTGAGCCATAAACATGTAATAAAGGGAATTTTCATTAGCTTTAGAAAATAAGTGATAGTTCTTGACCCAACGCCCCGATTTCGCGCACCCACTGTTTCAGAAATCCCTGTCGAATTTTGTGTCATCCTACATGTAGTAGGAATAATTAATCAAGTAATCAGGTATTGTCGTTACCATTTTCTTACTTTTCGGATTTATCATTAAAAGTTAAAAAATATATATATACAAGGTTATAAATCTTTTTTCGAGTCCTTAGGCTGGTATTTTAAATGTACTTTGAAAGGAAAAGCTGTCACAACGACAAAACATATTAGGAGTTAAAATTTCGATGAAAGATATATTTTTGCTAACGCACAAACTGCATTTAACTGACTCGATTATTTTTCTTACCCTTATCTTTATTTAATATAAAATGAAATGTATAGGAACATGAAAATAAAATAATGAATATTCACTGTGATATTTAATTTTTGAAAATTGGGAAACTTATTTTCGTTTGAATTATTTCCCTTTCTGTTACCATGGTTGTTATATACACAGGGAGAGACATAGCAGGGAACAGTCATTCAACACAAACAAACATGGACAATTAATTTTTTTTTTCATGTCACTTAACAGATTTGCCTATTATAATATCTTAACTATAAATTTTAAGGTCGAATTCAGCTCTAAGATATAACATACAAGCATGTTTTTTTTTTTTTTTTTTTTTTTTATATTTACCGATATATATGTAGATATGAACATGATGAAGGTCTAATGTTGAAAACGTATTCCACTGCAAATCTTTATGTCGCTTCATTTATTTACAAATTTCAAGACGGGATTATCAGCCGTAAAAGCGTTCATAACAGATTGCAATGAATGTTAAATAAGTTTTTTTTTATCTTGAATAAAAAAGATAAAATCAAACCTCTTCTCGAAAAAGAAATGCATGGATCTTCTTTCATAACTTGTAATAAAAGCATATCGCTAAAAATCCATTAACTTCAGTACTGAGTTTGCTCTAAATTTCACGGACAGATTATTAATTTTGCAGGTTTTAAAAAAGAACTGAAATTTAACAAAAAACCTTATATCATTAATACTAGTTGCGAGTCAGCTATTTATTTTTAAGACAATGCCTTTTTAGATGTAACAGATTGAATTTGAGAAAAACATTTACTTCCGAAATGGTAATTCAGGAAGGATTTTGCATGACAAATAGAATTTTGTTTCCATTCTTTGTTGAGCGAAATTCTTCATACTTTATTACAAAATTTTTACCGGAATTTTAACTTAATTTTGGATATGTGAGACTTCATAAATCATACATTTGTGTCTATACTACGGAACAATGGAATATTAAAATTGTTTTTAAAAAGTAATCGATGTAAGAGTTGTGGACAATTTTTTCCCCAAGTTCAATGCTATGTCTTTAAGAAAATTATAATTATGTTTTTGCTTTTTGAAACAATTATTTCTTTCATTTTTATGAATTCGTCCATTTATCGTAGAATGACTGGGAATTACATGTAAGGTCGGGTAGCGAAGTGGGACATATAATCGAAGTAGATGCATTGGCGTCGAAAGCAAATTGAAAGTGGAAGGGGGCAAAGTACAGGAGAAAAAAAATATTCAAGTTACCAAAAACTTGAAAAGCGAAAAAAATTGTCCTTCGTCCTTTACGAAAATCCTATTTCGGGGGGTTGGGGGTGGAGGGTTAATATCGAACTTCTCTAAGTACAATTTCTCTCTAAACCCTCCTATGTTCATTGTCTATATCATGGCTATCTTTGCAAAAAAAGAGGCCCTAGCCCCCCCAGCCCCGGTTCCGACGCCTATGATATGTTAATTTGTGTAGCGATTCAGATTCCTTTTTTTTTATTGCGACTTTGAATAAAA